ATGAAAAATATTTACAATTGAAAAATTAAATCTCCAGCACGTATTAAAGAAACAATGGATTCCGTTCATTATTTTTATCTTTATAGAACAGAACATTTCTTCTTTCATAAATATTATTTCTATGGTATACTCATATTAAAATAATGGAGGCAAAATATAATGACGGTTTATGTAAATATATTCAGAAATATATATTTGTGATAAAGAATATTAAAACAGATTTGGTGTGATAATCTATGACTTCTCTGATCGCGATAGTAATTACAATTTAAAGTTATATCTTTGGTAACATTGTCTATCTTCTTCAATGTAACAATGCGTCAAGAATTAGCTAGAGTATTTAACTTATTTTAACTTATTTTATTATTTTAACTTACATTAAAATTTTCAAATCTTGAGCTAAACATTAGTGATATTCTAGTTCATTGAATTTTTCCAGGCTCAACCAATATAGACAATTCAAGAATCCAATGAAAAAATTTTATAAGAATTTTTTTTAATTCGAGATGAAAATGAAAATTAAAAGCTGCTTTTGCTAATTCAAAGAACTAGATAAAAAATTTACATCAATCATAATTAGCTGATATTAAACAAAAGTATGGTGACTTTACCAATTCTTCTTAGAGATTAAATTTATTAATGATTGATTTAATTATTTATACGTAAGTGTATTAAATCTTAATTCAGCTATAGAGCCCATATAAGCTTTTTATACATTAATTTTTCATTTCAATATTTTTGTTTATTTACTTTAAATTACTAAACTGTAATCGCTGAACTAAATGTGTATATTAAAATTAAACTATAGATAAATTCATATAATCCTATTCGTTGAAAAAAAAATTTTTATGGTAGTAGAGTTTTCAAAAAAATCTGTCATGAATTACATAAATAATTACTGAAAGGCAGTTCACTCAATTCTACTGATTTGAAAGGTAACATAATCAGGTAAGTAACATAGACGATATAGAAAATAAAAACAATAAAGCAATGTAAATAACTAAGATCTATCTGAATAATATAATATAAATTTAATATGGCTTAATGATAATTTACAATACCTTAAGCGACTTTCTTTATAGAAATAATATCAGAATTTATAGACTATTGATAGTGGATAGAGCAGTAATTATCAGTATAAAATAAGATCTTAACATATTGCATTACCGACACTAATATAAAAAAAGAAGTAAGCTTTAGAATTACAGATTTAGTCTATAAATTAATGAGTAATAACAATGACTTGTGTTATTAATATTCGACATGAATAAAATTCGTTATTACTTTGAGTACTCGACTAGACTTCCAATTTCATACATTTCTCGCATTTTAGGATAGCAAATTGTAACTTTTATTTTGAAGCATGAATACAAGTGAAAATTAGTACAAAAATATATAAAATCTTTTAATCACTGACTTAATTATATATTTAGCTATTAACTGCAGGACTGTCCTGAAAAATCATTAATAATGAATTAAATAAAAATATTTTTTAATTTTTATGAAATATACGATTCTATTTTTTATAGAAAGATACCTTATTATATATTATATAGATTAAAAATGAATGTATTAATAGACTTATACCATAATAAGTTTAGTACAGTAATTAAAACAATATTATTTTTTTTTGTGATATAAATATATCAGGTGCATGTAAATATATGTAGTGAAATATATCATATATAAAGATATATTTAGATTTATATAGATTTATATATTTAGATATGTATATGTATATATATATATATATATACAACTAATTCAAGATAAAATTTTCTTATCAAATTTATAATCAATTATCCCATTATGAATGTATATTTTTAGTATATAACACTAAAATATAAATTATAATTATTTATAACTCTAAGTGTTTTAAGATATTTAAAATTTTATAATTATTTGTATATCTAAAAATATTTTATTTTTTATCGTGACTTTTTAAATGAATTATAAAATGTAATGAATAAAACAGTATTTATTTGATAAACCATTTATATATGTATTACAATCATTATTAAAAAAAAAAAAAAAACTCTCTTGAAATTGTTAAGCATTAAAATTCATATTCTACACTAATATATTTATATAATTGTAAATTACACTCGGCTAGATATATAAAACTAACCAAATCTTTGTTATTTTGTATTTTCTTCCAAAACTATAAAATTTTTAATTTATAAAATTTTTTTTAAAACGTAAACAATAAAAGTAAAAATAGAAAATAATATAATTTTTTCAGCATTGAAAGTATTAAAATTATGTAATTTAACTAAGAATGTAATTAAATAAAATGTTCATTTATGTATATAAGTATGTACACTATTTTATATATAGAAATGATGTTATTAAAACGTGTTTTAAAAAATCACTGTAATAAAGAAAGAAGTTCAAATATTTGTGAGTATGAAATTAGAATTATTTTGTTATACTTGTATACACAATTATTGACAATATATTTTGTGATCACAATATGACAAAGAAATTTTATTATAATTTAAAATGATATGTTAAAAGTACATACAATATTGCTTATTATTTAAAAAGGTAAGATTTATCAAATATTATTTATTTAAACTAATCAACGATAATATATAAACCAAATAAAAGTATGAATAGATTGTTAGTTAGAATGTTAAAATTAATATAGTTTTATTATTTATATTTATCGATTATTTATTATTATACTTATTTATCGATCTGAGTGATATTTAATGTTACAGTTATTGAATTATATTTATTTATAAATTAAATATAACTCTTATCGATAAAGCAGAATAATAATAACAAATTTATTAATCTGAAAATAAAACTATATCATTTTACCATTCTAAATAAAAATTTAATCTTGAGGTTATATTGTTCATACATTATTGTTAATTAATATAAAGAAATAATATTTGATAAATTTATCATTATTACTATACTTTTCTTTTATATTTATTTACTATATAAATCATTTTTTGAAAGATTCAAAACAATTATTATTAATTTAAAAAATAATTTTAATAGTTTTACTTAATTCCTAACATAATCAAATAAGTTCAAAAACATATTACTGTAAGTTGCAGAGATTGGTTAAATATGAAACGAAGAATAAAGATAAGTATAGAAAAAATTAAGGAAGAAAGATACGAATAAGAATGAAAGTGAAGATGAAAAGATTCAAATAGAGACTAAATAAAAGGAAGACGGAGAATTGAGAAAGCAGAAAAATAATAACTCTATAGTTTATACAATTGTAATGACAGATAAAATAATAATGAACAAAGATTTTCTTTTCATGATTTTGTTTGTGGTTCGAGTAGGAAATAGCCTCAAGTGACAAGGATAACTCGTGCATCTCTGGAGCTGTTAATGACAAACGTAGCTAGAGGAAGAACTAAAACCAGGAATAAGGATTGGGCCATGGTTTTGATTTCACAATGGAAAACAAATGGATTGTACACCTGACCAACAGTCTTAGGCGAAGACCGATATAGGCGTGGTCTTTTCGACATCTCGACCAGCAGCGTACAAATGTTCAATCTGAGAGTATCGCTGTTTGACTTGTTTTCTCATTGTTGGGCGCGGCTCTGAAGTGCAACGCCCCATGACCGCCCACATGCCAGCCCTCTGAATTGCTAAAACGGCAGACGCACTACAGCTGCCAACTCGACAGGCAGCCCCGCTCCATGAGCAAAGCGATTCAATACTGGGCCAGCCAAGTTGCATCGCGGAACACGCACACATCGTGTTCGACTCTTGTGATTTTCGCGTTTTTTACTGGTTTTGATATGTTAAGTGTACTTTATGACAGTATTTAAGGGCAGTTATAAAGTTTTTTTAAGTGAACTGTGCAAGCGATAATATTTGAAATATTTTTTACGTCTTTTGTTGTTCTCGATCAAGCAATGGATCTACCCTTGTGATATAGATAAACTTTTAACCTATTTTAATTTACTTTTTTGTAGGTGATGTATATAAAACTATACTATACTAGTTCAAGTAAAATAATGAAATAATTTTTAATATAGTACGTTAAATATCAATTTATCGTTCCAAGTATAATTGTTCAATACGAATTGCAGATTTATTCGTATGCAATGATTACCAGATACTTTACAGAAAATTTGTTATTTATTAATTAAAAACATTTGTATAAAAAGTTATTTTATCCAAAAAATCTTATCGGCGTTTTGATAAACTTTGCAATGACTTAAAAACATTGCTATTCATTTAATCAAAACATTTTATCTTCAAAACAATGAGAAAACTAGTGGAAGGTTGCCAGTGAGTTCAAAATAAAAAATTCTAGCCACTAGCCAAAGCACTAGTCAGAGTGCAGTATGTCCGCGAGTCCGGAAGCAGTCACGGATTCGAAGTGTCGGCATATTAATGTTGAAAAAGTTGGCTACAACTGTGAGAGTGACAGCAGTGAGGTGTTAAGTGTAGGTAACGAGCCTCTTACACTAGCGGAGGTAATCAACGAGGGAGCTCAAAGTCCTAGAAGCCCAAGTAGTGATCCAGCTTCACCTGGGAGCCCGACAAGCTCTTCTGGTATGGCTGCTTTTTCTCCAGGTAGAGCCGAATACGGTCAAGACGCGTGTTTGCCCGGTTATCCATTGTCTGCAACACAACAGCGACTGCTTAAATATCCACAGCTCCGTGAGCCAGAGTTGGAATATGCGCCGGAAATAACACATTCTCTAGCCCATGAGATTATGTTCCCGTGCGTGGAGCAATTACATCGTGCACCAATGAATGTGCTATCCCTATTCCAAGTCACAAACTGTCGGATTCACCCGGCGCAGCAACTGCAACGAATAACGGATAATATACATAGTCAAGAACAACCTGCATCTGGAATGTTATTACAACAGCATAAACTTTCAACCCATAAAATTCTACAGAGAAAATCTCCTGAGTTACAGAAATCACAAGAATCACAATTGTTACTGGGAGATGTAACTAATGATACACAAAATGTCGTTAACAATAATGACAATATAAATAATAGTACTGGTAGCTCTAGCAATAATATTAATAGTAATAACAATGGTACTCAGCATCAAACTAATCTCAAATTCAGTATAGATAATATACTGAAGGCAGATTTTGGTAGACGGATAACAGATCCAATATCGTTTAAAAAATTGCGACCAAAGAAACTCGCGACACGACCTGTTGATTTGAGCAAAGATTTTTTAGAAAGTTCACCTGACGGCTCTGAGAGGGGATCCGAAAAAAGTTCAGAGAGAGGTTCTGAAGTGTCTATAAGAAATATATCACCTAATTTACTAGTATGTAATCCGGCTTCCAGTGTAACATCCACGGCAGGCACAGATTCCTCAAAACTTATGCAGTGGCCAGCATGGGTTTATTGCACGAGATATTCCGACAGACCTTCTTCTGGTGAGTCTAAAATTACTTGTAACTAATAACTAATTAGCTAATATTTCATTTATTCAATTTTTACTACATAAATAATGCCTTGTTAACTATTCAAGTGTTTTTTATTCTTTATTATTCATATAAATCTTATAAAATATTCAAATGGAATTTATGTACGTCTTTTTATAATAAAAGAAACTTCAGCTATGAGTTAGTATTATGATTTATATATACAATTTTGTGTAAAAATTTTTTTAAAAAAGTATAAAATATACATATAAAATAAAATAAAGACAATAATTATACTTTAAAACATAAATTAATTTTAAAATATTCACTATATTCATTTTTATATAATAATAATCTATTACTGAAACTGATCATAACTTCATCTAAGTATTTTTTTTATAGAGATTATAAATGATAAATAAAATTCAACTTAATCATTAATTTATTAACAATTTTGTTATTTCTTTTTATATGGTATTGATTCCGAATTATTTTATAATTCAATTTTATATTTACATTTTATATTATTATAAGATTTAAAACATGCAAAGAAATCAATTAACGCATTTAATTAATTATTATTTAAAATAAAAACAATAATAACAAAATTTTAAATTACTATCTACACTTTTGTGAAGTAAGATAATTTTTTAAAAATTAAATTACTTTATATTTTATACACAAATAAATTTTTTTTTTGAAAAATATAGATAAAGCGTAAAAAATTATAATTTTATTTATAAGGATAAATATATATATATATATATATATATATATGCATAATAGTTTAAGAAAGATTATTTTGTTAAAAATGAATTGCATAAAATAATGCAATAAGTAAGCATTCATTTTAATTATTTAAAGCATTAAATATTAAAAATATCTTTTGATTTTTTATTTGAATGATGTAACAAAAAAAGAGTGATAGCTAAATATAAGAAGAAGAGTTAGATTATAAGAGTAGGTCTCGCTGACTCCATTTATTTAATTAGAGTGAAATTAATATTATTACAATATAACATTATTAATTTAACCATTAATTATTAATACTTAAAATTAATTATAAATAGAAAATTAAGTTTATCGATTATTTTACTTAACTTTGTCTTGAAAATGTTTTCTTAATTTATGATAATTTAAAAATAAAAGACTTCAATGAAATAAATGTATGTGCATACAGTTATACAGCAATGCATCCCCATATATACATACGCATGTATATACATAAATACATATATAGCAAATAGCAGTTAGAAAAGAAGTAATGTTGTAAATAAAGCAATGCATATTATATGTAATATATATTACACAATGTACATTAGATGCGATATATTATACGATCTAGTAATTATGAATATATTAATAAACTTTAAATCAAATGTTATTTTAAAATATATATATATATAAATATATAAATAATTAATAATAACAATAATAATTCATGATGAACGTTCGGGGTTAGATTTGACCAGGATATATTTAATTTTTATTCAAATATATATATCATACAGGTATTGGGTTGTAGTATTTGTTGTAAATATTATATTAATTCACATATTTTTCAAATAGGTTATGATAGTATAACAAACATTTTATTTGTTATAAAGTTATCCTTCATTATCAATATGTAATATAATATTTATATAATTTTCTTAGACTTTTGTGAATTCGTAGTAATATCTGTTAACCATATTTTTGGAATATATCTTTTGAAATCTTTGTATAATAATAATGAGTCACATAAAATTTATATATGTGTAACTTGCGATATAAAATATCTATAATTTAAGATTATTTTTACATGTGATGTAACTGCTTAGCTGTTGTAAGCTTCAATTAAGACTTTATTAAATTTATCTTTTCTTTATTGATTTTATGTCTTGATTTAAAATTGCGTACCCAAGAACATAAAGTACTCTTTATCGAAATCATATTTTAACAGATTAATTTCAAGTTCAAGTTTTTTCGGTTTATTAAATCGTTACTGATTTACTGCTGTTATTTAAAAAAAAAGTCTTCAAATTTTAAGATAAATTTTATATTAAAATAATTTTTTTTTTAATTTTTCCATTAGGTAGTTTTATGAAGAACAATATATATGTATATATATATATAGTATTTGATTAGGGGACAATAGCAATCTTATTCCTGTTTTTGATATATTTTCTATAACAATTAAAATTGCATAAGATTCTCTTTAAAGTTGATCGATAAAAGAATTTCTTTTATTACAACTCCTACGAAAAATCTTTTGTAAGTAAAGTATATATAATAAGGTAATTCTCAACAATTTTAACATCAAGTGTGCACTAAGCAAACACAAATTTTATTCATTGCCTTTTCAAATACCTATATATGTAATTTTAAAGTTCTTGTGGTCTATTCGGTAAAAATATTGATTACACGTAATATACCAAGATTCAGCTATTATATAGATGTGGTGTTGAATTATTTATTTAAGAGTTTCTGTTGTACTTGTTCTTGCTGATTATAAACTTCCTGAAATGAATAATATCGTCATAATATTAAATAGTCGACTATTCCTACTCATGTTCATTTAATTAATTAAAGTGAATAATTAGTTTGTTGATATTTGAAATTATTTTAATGCATAACCTAATTAAAATACAAGATTATCATATATTTATATGTCAATATATTTGTACTATTTATCGATTCTCTATCGATTCTCGTCACCTATTTATCGATGTTTAAGCGGTACTGTATTATATATTATAATGGTGTAAGCAACGTAAAAAGAGTTGAAATTACTTATCATTCTTAGTATTCTTTCTTTCTATTTTTGATCGAACATGTTTAATTATTTATATAATTATAAATCTTTCGTGAAATATGTATAATAAATATAGTATCCGTTTGGGTGCAGTGTCAACTAACTGTCGTTTTAATGTCGTTCGATAATTCTTACAACACATTTTACTGTAGCAATTCGATTTTATTATAAAAAACTTGTAATAATATTAAAATTTCTTTCTCATTAATAATATCCTTCCGATGAATTGTTTTATTATATTTTGATAAAATCTAACTTCATTTATTTCTAGTTTATATTTTTAAAATAATATTTTTTATTATGCGAGCTTTAATGTTTATGTTCAAACTTTAATCATTGTCCAACAAGAATACGAATTATGTATAGATTATAAAATAATTATGAAAAGCAGAATGATTTTAACATAATATTTTGTACTGCCATTCTAATGAATATTCTACGATAATCTCAAAGAATGAGTTAATTTTCTGAAATTTATTTTTCTTATTTAAGGATTTAATTTAACGATCTTACTGAATTTTCGATATAAATGTCACTTATTTCATGTATAATTTACAATACAACATCTAATACATAATTTTACTGTATTTAATGCTTTATTCAGTTTTTTGTTCTTTATATGATTATAGTTGTAAAGAATGTTCAAGTTCAACAAGCTAAATTTTTAGATTACAATTGAAGAGCGATTCTTTCTCATGTACTTACATTTTTGGAATAGCTTTATAATTTCAGTTTAAATATTTTATAATAATAATGATATGTATCAATTTTTAATATTAGTTTGTTACCGAAAATTCTAACTGTGAAAAAATCTTATTTTCATAAAATTAATTAAAATCATTAAGTAATTTATTACGAAGTCCATGTTTTAAATGCTAAATGTTTTATAAAATGAATATTGTTAATGATAAACATAGTTCATATTATGTCAATGTGTTATTATTTTTAACGATGTTCTTTATTTTGATCGATATTATTTTCAATGAGTAAATAAATATTTTTCATTATAAATTCATTTTAATGCTAATTTTTATATTTGATTGTTCAGTAAGATAACATTTGTATTTTAAAATTACGAAATTATTTGAATACATAATAAGCAATTGATTAAAAAACTATTGAATTTCGATTGAATAAAAATGTTATTAATTAAAAAAATGCAATTAATTAAACGATATACTCAGAATTAAAATAGAGTGATTAAATATCAATGTAAATTTTAGATTCTTTTTACATATCAAGTTTTATAATTATTAAAAATATATTCATAATGTCTTAAAAATTTATTATAATAAGAACTATTAAAAATAGATGAATTTGCTAGATGTTCCATTATTAAGATAAGATTCACTGAATTAAAAGAATTAAGATTAATATGCTTAAATAAACGTTTAATTACAAATTTCGTGTCTATATATATTTGTTTATGAAATACTATGTAAAAGATCGAAATTTTATAGCAAGAATTATATTTTATGCAAATATGAATATGATGATATATTACATTTATTTATTTAAAATAAAGCCTTTATATTTATACTTATAGGAAATTATTTTTATTTTAGAATTTTATATTGTATATACATGATTATTTTTAATATATAAATGTATAAAATTATATATTAACGATATTTAATAGTTTTTATTTCTTTAAAAAATTTTCTTGCGTAAACCTCATTTAATCGACAATATGTAAATTATAAATAATGTTTAAAATTATATTAATACTTTATTTGTTTATATAAAAATACGTTTTTATTATATTGCGGTATGATATATATATATAATTAATATTAATTAATATAATATAATACAATTAATATTAATATGATAAAATTAGTTACTTTAATATATAATTTTAAAAAACATAATTGAATAAAACATTATAGAAGATAATAAAATTCAGTTGAAAATTGTAAAAAGACAGCGTTAAACTCATGTTAAAAATGATTAATTTCAAAATATTTATCTTTTATTTCATTTTAGATTGTTTGAAAAAAGATTATAAAATTATGTATATATAATATAATTTAGAATTTAGAAAGTCAATTAGAAAAATAAAAAACATGTTACAACTTGAAATTCGTAAGCTAAAATTAGTAGTTAATTTAATTTTTGTACTTAAAATATTGGGCGGCGCTAAAGTTTTTTGATAACATTAAATGATTTTGACAATGATTACTCAATTGACTCTGAGTCTGAGAGTTGATATTATCTT